ACCTGAAACGGCAACTGGGAGTTCTCTTCACAGTAAATCCCTCTCACAGTTGCCTTTAGTCTTTTACCTACAACTAGGGATTTTGGCCTGATGATTGTAGTCTTCTGAGTACACGCACTACTTAGATCCACACAGGAGCACTGGTGGTCGGCTGCTGTTGAAGGGATGAAGCTGAGCTGCGCACCATCTTCGATCAAGAACCGTCTGTCACTCCTGCCAATGACAAAGTAAGTAATAGTGGCGCTAGGAAGGCCAGACCGATTGGTCAAAACTACTCTATTGTTGCTGTAACTTTCCTACGCTGACCGGAATGCGTAGCGTGACCAACGATGGCCGGCTTTCCTGGGATTCGCATGTGCGCTTGTATTGGCAATTTGGCATCAAAGTTTACATGGTACACCCAGATTTGACTTGTGCGTGGACGGAAATGTAAGCGTCGGCGAGAGGTACGAGTGGGTTTAAGAGCCGAGACGACCTTAGCCGGTTCAGCAACTCCCCCTTGATCCCGCGTAAATGGAAGAGGGTCGAGAGCTGGGAGATGTGAGAGATCGTTGAAAGCAAGATGCACTGAACTTTGTCCATTAGATCATCTATTCAAATCTTGAGATGGAGAGATCGTTCACACGGAAGTCGCGATCGTCTACATGGCCATAGGAATTACTCATCGAAGAACTTCTAATCGATCTGTAGAGACCCGAGTAGAGAAAACATGCGACGCAGAGGGTCAAAAGGCTCTGTGTTTAGCTAGTGATAGCGTTCACAATCAGCTAATGTGCTGTGTATGCCCGCCCGAAGTGTCGGGACATCATGACAAAATTCGCGCGGCAAGCGCCGGTTAAGTTCATGGACACGCGTTCACCCATTTCTTTATTCTGACAGGCCAGCCTTCACCCCTCGTTGCTCTGACTGGCTATCCTTCAGCCTCTTACGTTTAAGCCCTACCATAAAGCCTTCTTTGTTAACATGACTCGTCACTTGAACTGTTCCCCCGTCCTCAGTACACGCACTGCTTACAGACAGCCTTCTGTTTTGCATAAATAACATTCTGCCTACAAACTGTCTTCTGTTTTCAATCCATAACATAA